TTCCTCAAACCAGTTAATAGTATTATTATTATTAACTTCATGACATTACCGCCGAAGTCGCAACTTCTAAGTTCGTATTATTATTATTATTTAAAAATTCATCGAGGAGACAATAATTTTAATATGGCAATAAGTAGGACGAGCTGAAGCGACATGTGGACTACTTTATTAACAATGTAAGCGATGGAGACGATGCAAGAAACAACCTAAAGGGTAAGGAAAAAATACATGTAAGAAGAAAAAGGGCAATGGAAAAAGATAATTCGAACAAGTTTTCGTACAACACTCTTCAGGAATCACCGTTGTACTAAAGAACAAAATTAGAACAAAGGAAATAATATAGCAATCAAGGTAGGGTGACACGATACAATGACAGCACTGGAATATCGAGGTGTTAATAAAGTAGTCCACATGTCGCTTCAGCTCGTCCTACTTATTGCCATATTAAAATTATTATTATTATTATTCTCTTTCCCTCAAACCAGTTAATATTATTATTATTATTATTAACCCTTTATTACCGGCCTGCAGACTTTCGATCATATATGATCGAAAGTCTGCAGGTCAGTAATATCTTCGTAACTCCATCATTTCTTGTGCGAATTCAACAATCGAAAGGTCTATTTGGTAGCGGAAACTCCAAGCTTTCCAATGCAACAATCGCCGAAGAGTTACGATGTCGGACACCAGAGATATCGAGCGCCGTATTCTCACCTCGGCAAATTCAAATTTTTGATCGATCACTTCGCCATTTTTGGGGAAAATCCCTTTTCGTGTGCTCTTTGAGCGACTAAGCACAAGATAATGACGTAGTCAGCTGAAGTTTGAATCGTCTCAAACAAATTTGAGCATTCTACGATGAAGGAGAGTGGAATGGTGTTGATGAGACGAATTTGCTTGCATATCAGGCTTGGAGACGACTTTGCTGTGTTACCGCGCCTGATTTGTGGCGATTGGATAATGGAGCTTGGTACCCTGGCGTTGCTCTTGCCAAGAGCTTTCCAACGAGCCCTAGATTGTGAAAATTAAGAGAAGGAGACCAAAATTATGACCTGGAGAAGTTGGAAATTGTGCTGAAATTCGTAATCCTGGTGTATGCTGTGCAAGTAATCCGGTAATAAAGGGTTAAAAAGCTTCCGTGGAGATAAAAATGTAATCAACGCAATAAATAGAGTAAGCTGCGCACTCAGTACAAACACCATAAGTAATGGCGACGAAAACGTTTAGGAACAAGCTTCTTTATTTACATGAAAACAAGTTTTACTTATGGTGTTTGTACTGAGTGCGCAGCTTACTCTATTTATTGCGTTGATTATTATTATTATTATTTGATAACCGCAATCAATAAAACCAGCTGAACCGACATTTTTCTCAAGGTTTGGAGACTCCACTGTAGCCAATACTTGAATCCATACATCCTGTACACACACCTTGTACACACTCTCTCTAACGGTCTCCTGATGATGGGCCTTGCCCGAAAATTTGAGCTAATGTATATCAATTGCAGTGTAGCCTAGAGACCGTTAGAGAGAGTGTGTACAAGGTGTGTGTACAGGATGTATGGATTGAACCGACATTTGTGTACTTTATTCATGCAATGTAGAAACGGTGGAGACGATGTGCAATAAAACGATGAAAATATGAAGAAATGGTGTGGGGAAAATATGGATTCAAACAAGTTTTCGTACAACACTCACCAGGAATTGTCGTTGTACTAAAGGACACTGAAACAAAAATTGAACTATTATAGAAAATCTAAGTTAGAGAAATAACACTAAGAGCAACAACAGTGAAATTTACAAGTGTTAATTCTAACAATCAAAGCAAGACGATCAACCAACCAAGACGAAGACCAAGACGATCAACAGCCAACTACAACAGAAGCTACGCAGTCAGCGGACAAGGGCGAAAGGAGGGACGTGATAGCAGGGTGACGGCCGAGTTGAGTTCAATGGACCCGGTCAGGCGGGATGGACGAGACAGAGAGAGTACAGAGGAAGCGGAGGATGGAACAGACGGCGGAGGGAGCAGTGAGTCGGAGAGCAGTGATGGGAGTGATGGTGAGAATGCCGGTGAGAGTGTTAGTGTTGTGCGTAGGTTTCGTTGTAGCAAGTCTTCAGTGTACAATCATCTGCTAGCTAGTCCTGATTGTTGCAATTCGTATTCCAACTCTTCGTTCACTGTATTGTGCCGTGGTCGTCATGGTAAATAAAATGACAAGCGTTCTTGAACCTAGCCCAGATACAGCTTCTGCTCAACTTGAATCTGCAACGCGTATTATCACAAAA